CCAGCTTCTTCGAAGTACGAACAGATATCGGCCAAAGCCGACCGCATCAAGCACCAAGTATGTCTCTCGTATCACTCACAACATCGATCCCATCACACATATGCCACGTATACCCAAAGACCATGCATATAATAATAATAATAATAATAATAATAATAATAATAATAATAATAGGCAAGGCGAGTAATGGCGAATCTTCAGACATCTACAACACAGTTGAACAGCTAATCGGGACCTCGTACAAAAAGCAGATTTGCACCACGGGATTCCCCAAATAAGAACTCGCCAAGAGTTCATAATCAACTATGTTGTTTTAGTCCCTACCATCATCAACGAGGAACTAAAGTTGATATCCTATCTAGCGCTCGACGCCCAGACTACATGTGGCAGATCCTATCTAGTCTACATTACGAAGTCGAAGGATAACGCTGATCAGTGTTCCCGATGTACGAGCATATAGCGACCACTGTCGCACGCATTCAGCACCGAAGTATGTCTCTCGCCTCACTTACAACCTCGGTCCCCTACACAGATGCCATGTGCACTCTTTCTATTGTGCACCCAATACATAATAATAATAATAATAATAATAATAATAATAATAATAATAATAATAATAATACAAGGAAAACAAGCAAAAGTGAGATGACAATTCCAGGCTACACCATCACATTAAAAGCCAGACAGTCCCATCGTGTCCAGAGAGCAGCATTGCACTAATAATACATCAATGGAGGTTCGTAGCACTGAAAACCAATATCCATGGAGAGCATACTCTCTCCTCTCAACACAAGAGTCCAGTTCCTTCACACTCACACTTGGCGCTCAGCGCCCAGCCTACTCCTACACATATATTACATACTACAAAAAGACAATGCAACTGTTGACAGCAGCGACAGTCCGAAGTACTTGACGATGTCGTCCAGGCAGACCATCGCCTATACAAGGTAAGTGTCCTCATATCATCATCATCATCATCGTTTTTCTCTTCCTCTCTATACCCGTGTGATGATTCGGTGAAACTTCTGACGAAAACAGTTCGTCACAACCACTCGGCTGTTGTTCTCACCTTCCTATCTGCCCTGCTCTTCATCTCTCTCTCTCTTTCTCTCTCTCCCTTGGCGTACCACGTACTAACCTCCTAAGGTGGCATTTTGATGCAGGTATCTCGGAGACGAAGCTGGAGCTATGGTACCACTGCTAAGTTTTTCTCTCTTTCCTCCCCCTCCTTTTTCATCGTCAAGCTGCCGAGATCTCCGGCGATCCGGACACTTTACCGGACCATTCGAATCAGTATGAGCGTCGGCGGTGTGCACAAAGGGTGGGAACAGAATCAGCGCGAGCTGATGACTCGCGCCTTAAGTGTGATCCAGATACGTAACTCCCCTTCCCTTTCTCTCTCCCTTTCACCTCTCACTCTCTCTCTCTCTTGTTCACTCTCACACATTTTCATGCGAGTTAGTGAATGCACCTAACGTTAGATAACGTCGGGGTGTGCCGCGAAACTGGAAACTTACTTGTTCCCTTACTCTCGCTCCTTCGTCGTCGTTGCTGATAGGCGGATGCTCCTTGCCTCGTAGTAGTCTCTTTCCATCGACTCCCTCTTCCTCTCCTTTCTTCTCCTCCTCTTCTTCTCCTTCTCCTCCTTCTCTTTTTTTTCATTTTTCCCTCTCTTCTCTTTCTTTTTTTTCTACGTGTTCGCCCTGCCCCCGATTAAGGGAGCTTTTTCAGTCGGAACACGCCGTTGTGAGCACAGATACGAAGGTGATACCACATCAAGATCGCAAACGCTTTCCTCGAAACCTTTAGAACGAGGGTGCGAAAGTCGGGAAAGGCAACAGGTAATTCGCCCTCACCTTCCCTCTCTTCCTTCTTCCTTCTTTGCTTGCGGGAGCCACCTGTTGCGCCTACTTCTTCTCACCGTGCACCCGCTAGTTCACCCTTCACGCAACACAATCTCCGCCCTCGAGATCGTGTCCCCCTCTTCACGAGATTGCGCGGTCTTTCTTCCCCGCTCTCCCTGCTCCTTCTTCTTCTTCTTCTTTTCACATCTCCTCTCTGATCCCTTCTGCGAGTTCCCTCCTCGCTCCGCGGCAGTAACTCCGTCGAGTCTCTAGGATGGTGAGTCGAGGCGCTCCTGGTAGGACCACCGGGCCTTCGACTGTGACTGGCTTAATGGCCTTGGCTTCGAACGAATCTATCCTCAATAGTAGGCTGGATTCGTTCGAGTACAGTCCTGAATCTAGTTTGTAAAAACGGAAAGGAAAAATAAAAGAAAATAAAAGAAAGAAGAAAAAAATAAAAAGAAAGAAAAAGAAAAATTTGAAAACTAAATCTAACTTCCAACTTTCCTGTTCAGACAACCGTCGGATTTGGCCTAGGCCTAACTAACCCACTTACATGGAGGTCACGAGTCTGAATCCCGCCCATCTGTGGGCGGGTGAAAAAAGGTACGCCCCGCCCCCAATAGCTAGCAAAAGGAGTTATCCCCGAGGCAAGTCGGAATCGATCCCAGGATCCTCTGCATATCAGTCTGTGGCTGTACCTACTGGGCTAGCTCCTAGTTTGATTTTACTAAGAGCCAACCTGCCCTAAGTAGAGTACAGGGCTCAGTCCATTCAGTTCATAAGGCCTGCGGCCTACCATAAGGGAAATCCAGGCCACTGTTGGCCATCGCAGCCTATTACAGCAGGTTAGGCCCCTTTTGTTTAGTCGCCCCGGCCACATGGTCGGGGCTTTTACTAATTTTTACCTATATTATATCCTGCGGGGAGTGGTTTCCCGCCTCGGTTTTTCGATACACTCGACGTCTGCGAACTTGAGTCAAAACAGTTATACTTCCTCAGTCGTCAACTGACTGAGAAAAACCGTCGCCGCGTCCCGCGCGACTCTTTTCCGTTTTGACTAACCTTCCGACCTTGTGGTTGGAGACTTTATTTACTAATCACTTTGCAGTCTCTGCGCGTGCCGGAATGGCGTGCGCGGTCATTTCATCTACTAACCTCCGTCGTCTTTGCACGCTCTGCGAGCATTCGAAATTTTCAACCCTTGACTCTTGTCCGCGCGTGCCGTGTTTTGACCCTTGCGGTTACTACACTTTTATGACCATAACGGTCGAGGGGTTTGCCCCAGTTTTTGTTTTTAGCCGTCTTCGTTCTAACAGTTGGTGTCGACATTGTGTCGACTGCAAAATCATGAGCGGATACCCTTGTAAGGGTATTAGCTCCGACAGTCTTCCCAGACCCCATTAAGCGACGTCCCCGTCGCTGGGGAATCTAAATGCAAACAAAGGCCTTCTGACGCGACAAGTTGTCAAAATCTGATTTCCTGGATGAAGTTGTGGTTTGAAGTCCCTCACTGTCTCCCTTGGTGCGTCCATACTGCAAGGATTTCAACCTGGGTCTCCCACATATCTGAAAAATTGTAATACCAAAAAAAAATTATTCCATATGATTCAAAGTGGGGATACTGAATCTGTACTACAGTTACAGAGGTCACCAAGGAAGATAATGATAGCCTCTCCCCTCAACTTTAGACTTATTTGTCAGGATCTCGTTGGGTGTCCGAGGAGTTAGAAATCATAAATGAATCATACCCTTTGGATTCAGGTCTCGACCTAAGTCTGTTTTTACTGTCCCACCCGAAGTCTAATGCGAGGGGATCGGCAACCTCGGTCTCAACCCACCACAGTCGGTTGATCAGGCCTGATCTGTGGCCCACCATGTTGTTATTTTAATGGTGGTACTTGTATTGGTTACGCAACACAGGATAAATTCCTCCTATCAAAATATCTAGACCTGACTCTCGATCCCCACGATATCTACATGAACCGATACTATCATTAGGGAGTTTCTCCCCTCAAGTTTAGTCTCAGGTCGTAATCGGAAGGCCCGCTGTCTGGTTATGCTTGGTCAATAGCCCACGCTGGGGGTTACGTCTCAACGATGTCAATTTTTCACCATAGGCTTGGTAATTTTAAGTCCCTCAGACTGACCTCCATAAGTGAATGAGCGATGATCATTTCAAAAATACATATATGAAATTCAATTTGACAAAAAAGAAAAATTTTCCTCGTCAGTTGTTTTTGAATGGGTGAACAAACCCATTAAATGTATTTATGAAAGAAACAATATCAATAAGAATGATTCAACATGATTGTCAAACTTGTCTCTGATCAAGGGGCACCGTCAGAGCCACCTAGGGGTCGTGCCTATCAGACCTCGATCACAGGCTGGATAGGCACACGTCTCGGGGATCTTTTTCCAATAGAAAAGTCAACCAAAATATTCATAATGAAAGTATAAAAATATGTGTTTGACCCCTTGTCTTGTCAGAAGGCAGAAAACATTCATTCCATTCATAACATACTTTTCTTTGATTCACAGGGTTTCTCAAATGCATAATGACGCTGACTTTTCCATACCCCTTTTTAGGGTCCTTTTCAAAAATAACCACATAAACAAGGCATAAGGACGACTCATCATGAGTGCAAAACAACTTTTAAACTTTGCAAATCTTATTTCAGTCATTTTTTTCACTCTTGAACACTTAGGCACTTTTCTGAGCATCCTAGTTCAAGATTTGACCAGCATAGACTATACACATATCCAAAGTACTCATTTCATCAACAAAAACCAAACACTGGACCAACCCAATTGTGAAAGTGCAAAATGTTTAAGTTCTCCATAGGTATACCTCATAAATAACTTAGGATAAAGAAACTCAATTGAATACAAGGTATATGTTAAGCTGATCCAAACTGATGCACCAAGCCTCGAGACAAAAAATGAATCATATGTCTAATCTATCCTCAACTACTAGAGTACAAATGTCGAGTCACAATAATATACATGATCCCCTAATCCTAGCAATTGTGAAAAACACATTCTCTGTAATGGTCTTAAAACACTTTATCTGATGTTCGTAAGAAGAGTAAATATGAATCTCACCCTGGTACCCCTTTCTCCCTCATTCCCTAATATACAATGTTTTTCTGAAAGGATTTCAAAATTGTTTTATTCTAATCCTTTAAGGCGAGTCCCAGCTGCTCATACAATTAGACCCTGAACCCTTATTTGGTTCTTTTAATCAGATTTCCTCTCCTATCGATAAATCTGTTATTCTCATCCAGGCTAACCAACCCTTTTGCCCTATCTGTCTTAAGCCCAGGACAATCGTCTCTCCTGTGGATTCCCTTCATGCAATACCAACATAACTTTTTCTCCTCTTTCTTTGATCTCCTTGCAGATGATGGGATATCCTATGATGCTGCTCCAAATAATGTCTCAAGGTAGGATCTCTTCCTATCCTGTCCCACTCTGTTATCAGTCAGTGATGTTTCTCCAGCATTCTTTTCAGGTAAGGTGACAATTCTTACCATTAACCCCTTGTCCCGACTGTTATCCCCAAGTCCTTTCTCACCTCCTTCCATCCTTGGGTTTTCCTTTTTGTCCTCAACCTTCTTAGCATCCCCTTCTTCGATCTTCGTCTGAATATCCCCCTTTTGTTTTTTCAAAACCTTTTCCACCACTTTCCACATTTTTTCCTACTTGTCACATTCCTGCTTCCTTTCATTTTTCTCTGCTTCAATCGCCTTACCTTGCTCACTAACCCTTGCTTCCAACTTACCAACTTCTTTTTTCAACCTCTCCTTCTTCATCTTTCCTGTCTCCACTTCCTTACTTTTGTTGTCAAGGGCAGTGCTCAAGGCTTCCACCCTCACTTCCAGCTTTCCCTGCTCAATCTTTGCCCTTTCCACCTCAGTCTTCAGACTCTCCATCTCCTTCTCCACTTTTGTCCACTGCACATCCCTTCTTTTTTCCCTTGCTCGCAACCTCTGAATCTCCTTCAAAATTTCAGGGACAAGGCTTGCTACCCCTTGCGTGAGTAGCTCTGTCTTTTCCTTCATCCTTTCCTGGAGTTCCTGAATGCGAACTTCCAGTTTCCTTCTCCTTTCTTCTTCCACTTTTCTCAATCTGCCATCCACTTTTGTCTCCCCCTCAAGGATCCATTCACAATTTTCCCTGAGTAGCTCATGCAACCGGATCAACCTGTCCACACCAGTTGCTAGTTTGGAACTGATCACGGTCTCAAAGAGTAGTATTATTTCCATCTTCAGGCTCCAGGGTGCGTCTGAAGACAACTCATTTTTTTTTAACGAGATCACAGTCCGATTCCTCCACTCCCTGTTTTCTTTTTCTTTTCTCTACCTCTCTTCCTTTGTCCATCTCCTTGTGCCCCGTTCTTTTGGAGGCTCATTGGAAGTAGGCACTTCAGCAGTTCCAGATGACCCTGCTTCTTCAACCCTCTCATCATTCTTCTCCTTTCCTTTTCCTTCCTTCACCTTCTCATTTCCCTTCTTTACCTCTCCAACCTTGCCACTGCCTTCCACTTCCTCTCATTGTGCTCCTCCCTTCGTGTCTTGTCTTCCCTCATTGAGCCACCTCCACTTGGAGCTCTAACCTTATCATTCCCCTGTTGAGAAGCTGTGTCATTTCCCTCATCCTCCTTCTGAGCTCTCCTTTCCATCTTCTCTCCTCGCTTTCCAATCCAGAACCCCTGCTCCTGAAGTAGTTGTTTCTTCTTCTGCCTCTGCACCTCCAAGAGATAGGTTTTTCTCATTTTGACAAGGAAACTCCCCTAGGTATCTGACTCCTTCCTGACCTTCTTCACTGCCTCATATTCCCTTGGTGCTATCCTCCTCATTGCTTGCTCCATCTTCTTCCTTTCACCCCACCTCCTTTTCTCTGAGCAAAGGTTGATACTGTCCTCGAAATCCTCCAAGTTGGTACCATCGAAAATGATATCATCTTCGATATCATCCCTCGCCAAGTCTCCATACTTCGCTCACATATCAACTTTGAAATTCATCCACCCCAGACACTCTGAGGCAATCTCATCTATTGCCTCGTTGCATTCTCCCATGCCTGCCACCTGCTCAAGTGTGACCTGAAAATGTCCGTCACCAACACCCCCATACCCACCCCTGCGGTTGGCTGGTCGGCTCTCACCGGTTAAGGTTGGCCGGTAGCTTGCAAAAAAAAAAAAAAAGTTTGGGTCGAAAATCCCTAATAACCCCACTGACACCCTCATACCCATCCCCAATACCCCCATACACCCCCC